TTTTTTTCAGGCCTTCATTTCAAGATACTGGTGTGTGTGTGCACACATGAGTGCCCTTATGTGTGAATTTGTTCTTTTCTAGAAATATAATGATGATGATGATACAAATTAGGAGATGTAATCCATGCATTAAGGAAACTGCCCTGAATACTCAGATGTCTCTTACATAAGCCAGTTCCTCTTTTTACACTACTTAGCGTAATTACTTCCTATTATGGCGAGCAGCACTTCTTTCCACAAAACATACTGTTTGAAAGTGTGTTACTTATATAAGAATTAGCATTGGATGAATTACTGCTATCACAGTCCACCGGCTCAAAAGATTCAAGCAAAAGCATATCCTCAAGCCATGACCCCAGGACAAGAGCCTGTTTTATCATCTCAAAACAATGAATGCATGTTTTGAGGAGAAGAATGCTCTAGTCCCATCACGACGCTGTCCCTGTGCACAATATAAAGCAACAGCACTGTCCCCATAGCTGTACTAATGTGTTTAATGAGGGTGGCAGTTCGGCCACTATTATCCTTCCCCCGCTCCCTGTCCTTTACTCAGGAGCACAGGCCGAACTGCCTGCTAAAGCCAGAACGAGGCTGGCAGCACAGGCACTTCCCAGAGACCACTGTCTGCACCTCCTGCCTCTGCGGCAGCCACACAGCAGGAGACAAAGACCTACTGGGTCCAGGATGTGGGCAGCGAGGAAAGGAGCCCTGGGGACAAGCCAGCCAAGAGGGGCTTTGCAGGACCACGAATCCTCCCCTTTTCTCCTCTCTGACATTCACTTGCATGCCTGCAGCTGGTTCCTCTTTGAAACAGGGAGGCTGGGCACAGCCAGGACTGCAGACACCAGTCTGAGACTAGACCTTCTCTTCAGTCCTCACGGGGCTAAGCGCTACCTGTCACTGGCACTGAGCCCATCTGAAATAGTGTCCGTAAAGTGCAATAATGCCTCAGGGCCGGCTGCTCTCCGAGCCCAAGATGAACCCAGGAGGCACTCTGAGAAGAGACAGCAGGGGCACAGGCCAGTTACGCCCAGGGCCTCACCAGCAGGAGACCAATCAGGACAAAGCCATTTCCTGGGTGTCATCAAAATCTTCCAATTTCACACCGAAAATGAGCCCTGGCTCAAGGCTGATGAGCATCCAGTTGTCCCCATTTCTGCTAGCTAGATTCCTCTGAGAGCTGGCATCTTAACCCTTGGAAGGTCTCTGAAGGTTTGGTGCTCCTCAGGCAGGACTGCACTGCGGAGAAACCCTCCTCTGTGTTTCTGCTGCTGCAGCCAGAACAGAGAAAGCCTCAGAACTTTCCAGGTGGGGAGAGAGAGCAATCCCCTCGGCCATGGGAGGGGAGGGGAAGGGCTGGGACAACACAGCTACAGCTGTTTCCAGGGTGCGGTGTTGAAACAGGGGCCCCCTCTCCTGAGCCACTCTGATCCCAGGATGTGCTCCCTGCCCCCACACTTTTGTACCTACATCCTCTTCCCTTGAAAGAAATGGGTTCGCAGTTTCAGTCTGTTTTCCAAAGGCCAAGCCTGGGCTCTGTGTGTTTGGTTAGAGTCACCGCCGATGTCCTCAGTGTGTGCCAGTACACTCTGGTGGAGGGATGGGAGAAGAGGGGGAGGGCTTGCTGCCCCTCCCCCATCCACAGACTCAAGTCCAGGGCACATACTCATCTCCCCTCTGAAGTTCACTGCCATGGGCTTCATAGCACACCCACTGTTTTGTTTGTTTGCTTATTTATTTTGAGATAGAGAGAGAACTAGTGGGGAAAGGGTGGGGGACAGAGGATCCGAAGTGGGGTCTGTGCTGACAGCAGAGAGCCCAATGTGGGGCTTGAACTCATGAACAGTGAGGTCATGACCTGAACCAAAGTCGGCCACTCATCCGATCGAGCCACCCAGGCGCTCCATATCACACCTATTTTTACTTCCCATCACACACCACCTGCTGCATCCCCTCCGATCTTGTGGCTAATGAATTTATACCACAGAAAACCAACTGAATCCAAATGGGGTCTTACCCTGAGAGAAAGAGCAAGGGGTACATGGCATTTTAAGCAGGGTGGAGGGGACAGGGAAGAGCAGCTGAGAAGGCAGGGGGAGACGGGCACGTTGCCTGGGAAAGTTAACCTGCCTCCCGGGAATTGGCCCTGCTGGCCTGTAAAAGCCATCTCTAGCCCCCTACAACACGATGAGCCTCGAAGACACTAACCAAATGAGCCAGTCATGAAAGGACAAATACCACATGATGCCACTTCCATGGGGGACCTAGAGCAGTCAAATTCACAGAGACAGAAGGTAGATTCATGGCTGCGAGCGTCTGGGGGAGGCAGGGATGGGAAGCTACTGTTTAACAGATACAGAGTTTCTGTTCTGCAAGATGAAGAGAGTTCTGGGGATGGATGGTGGTCATGGTTGTACCACAAGGTGAATGCACTCAGTTCCACTGAACTGTACATTTAAAAATGGTTAAGATGGTCAATTCTATGTTATGTGTATTTCACCACAATTAAAAACAATTTAATGGTTAAAATGGTAA